AATTTCAATTGGAGAGCAAAGTATTTTAATGTCATAAAATATTTTAAATCAGGTACAATATAATTACATTTTACCAAGTTTTTATATATTAATTTGACAAATATATTTGAGTGCTATCTTATTACATTAACGGGTTTATATATTTTTCAGAAAATTTTCTCTTTTTGATAGATTATATATACATTATCTAATACTTAACAAAGTGGTATTTTTACTAAGAAATATGATTTTATTTCAATAAACCTTACACAACAGCTTAAAAAGAGTTTCAATACACACATAAACACACAAATAAGTATTCTTTTTCATCTACATCTTTCTTAAATTCAGTGATTTCTTTATTTTCTTGGTATTTGATTAGAGAAATTTTCATGTCATTTCTACAAACATTTATTATATGGATTATAAGCTGAACCACTGTATATCATAAATATCTTTTTCTAAAAAAGACTAGTGAATGATACTTCTTTAGTATGGTTTCTTGGCCTACAATCCATATATCTTATAATTCATAGACTTTTCCCTATTTATTTCAAGCTTCCGGTTTACTTTCGTTGTTTCATTGAAGTGTTTCAGACTGCAATTAAAATGTTTACTTAATCTTATTTTTTTAAAGGAACATTCTACATTTTTCCCCACCGCTTTTTAAAGACTGTGAATATTTTCTATTTACCATTGGATTTTATAAATTTTATGATCTGTCACGACATTTTTATTTAACAATAATTCTGCATTGGGAAAGCTTGAGTCTTGGATTTGCAGGAATGGTGTCTTAAAGAACTCAATTGAATTTCACATTAAATGGCAGAGCAGAGATTTGAAAGCTTGTGGTTCACTTCAAAAGAAGTGTGAGTATCCATCTTATTACAGTATGTTACAGAATGTCATAAAATAAAATTGTTCACTGAGATTCCTTTCCAAAAGGAATAAAAAGGAGGCATAATTATAAACATATATCATTGCCACAGGTTGATCTACTTAGCTATTTTTTAATTTTGGCACATTTACGTCTGTCTGTATCCTTTTTACAAAGTGGTTCCTTGAAGCAAATATCAGAACCCGCCGAGGGTCCCATCAGCACTGAGAATAGAAGGACTTCAGACAGCTCATTCTACTTCTTACACTTCCACAAATGTGGTTTTTGGTCTCACAGCATTTATGGTGTTTCCATCATAGCGGCTCAAACGGATCTTAACATTTATTAAAATATTCACTAATTTTTGTAACTGCTGCTAATATATCCATACTGTCATTTATTTGACCCAAGCCTAGGATCTTAGAGTCAACATTCTTAAATTTCATCTTATTAGATTGAGCTTAGCACGTAAGATTCTCTTTGAACGCTGAATCTGCCCTAGTGCAGATTCATTACTATCATCCTCTGTATCATCCAGCTGTGACTTTGTACTGTTTCCCCCAAGTCATTAAACTTTTCAATGAAGCAAGTGATGAAGCAGGCCTGAGACTAAAGTCCTACCTCTGGTAATCAGACAAGGTTACTAATTGAAATTACAAACTGATAAACCATATAACTGGTCAACTTCTTATCTTGCCTATGAGAACTCCAGATGATTCATTGTTAAATATTAATAATCTAAATCCAGATATAGTTGAGTCTCAGATGGTCCAGATACATTTGGGCTGAACTACATTGTCATAAGCAAACCATAAAATCATTAAATATTTTCCTTATGATTTTATGCACATTGAAATCTGTTTCATACTGATAATAGCTTTCTCTCTTAGGGACTGGAATTATGCTGGGAATTAAAGTATTGGCCAATCATCTGTATCATTATATTTTTCTTTCATGGACTATGTAGTTAAAGTGTGGTACATCTTGACTATGTACTGTTAGATAGAAAGAAAAGAAATTTAATTGTAGAGGTAGAAAAACCTTTTAAAATGGGAAAAGGAGCATCCCAGAAATAAAATGCTCTGTTGACTTGAGGTGTATTTTGCTACATGTGATGGTTTTAGGAAATTACCTTTAACACTAAGAAATGACGAAGACTTGGAGTCCTTCAACACTCCTCCCTCCAATTAGTGGTGCCTAATTTCTCTCCCCTTGGGTGTTTGCTGAACTTAGTGTCTCACTTCTAAAGAATAGATAGGGCTGAAGTTAACAGTGTATGAGCAGAAGATTGGTATGGTTTGGCTCTGTGTCCCCACGCAAATCTCATGTTGAATTGCAATTCCCAGTAGTGAGGGAGGTACCCGATGGGATGTGACTGGATCATTGGGGTGGGTCTCCCCCTTGCTCTTTTCATGATAGCGAATGAGTTCTCATGGTAAGATGTGCTTGCTTTCCCCTCACCCAACCATGATTGTAAGTTTCCTCAGGCCTCCCAGCCATGCCTCCTGTACAGGCTGTGGAACTGTGAGTCGATTAAATTTCTTTTCTTCATAGTTATCCAGTCTCAGGTAGTTCTTTCTAGTAGTGTGAGAACGGACTAATACATGGTATTGTGGCTTCCTCTCCTCTGTCTCAGACTAGTAGTGCTGGAGAAAGCTGCCATTTCATTAACTCATGGAAAGGCCTATGTGGTAAGGACCTGAGGCTTCCTGGCAAGAACCATGTGTGTCAGCAATGTTAGAAGCAGATCCTCCTGCCCAGCCAAGCCTTCTGATCACTGTAGCCTGGGCCATCATCCTGATTGCAACACAAGAACACAATCTGATTCTTAACTACCCATCTAAGCCATTTCAGATTCCTCACCCACAGTAACTGTAAGATAATAAAAGTGTGTTGTTTTAAGCAAATATATTTTTGCAGAATTTTGTTACAATGCAACAAATAACTAATATAGTATGCATTAGGTGACACTTTTTATCTAGTGTTTTAATTCAGATATTGGAAGAATTTTATTAATTAGAGAAACATACATTCATAAACACACATACACATTTAATTTTGAGTAGCCAAAAAAATTGATTTTGGCTACTTTGAAAACTAAAGAATACTTCCAACAGCCTTACTTTATATACACCAATAAGACAAACATTGGGTTTTATTGAGTCCCCATTTTTTATGTGTTTAAAAGAAATTTCAGAATTAAGAAATGGGTCAAGATATGAATGGAACTTACTGGTACATCTTGGAGCAGGTATCCAGCCAGTATCCGTGCATTTTACTGTTTTTTCCCGGGTTGCAGGATAAAAACCATTTATACACTCATACCTGATTTCATCTCCAGCTCTGTGTTTAGTCCTTAAAGGTGTGTATCTACCATTTGGAATATAAGGATGTTTACATATTTTTTCTGAAAAGAAAAGGATGTGTGGTTAATGCAGAAATAAGAAACCATTAAAATTCATCATTTATATAAACATTCAAGAGTAGGTATTACAAGAACAGAAAACTAAAGACTCCCTAGGGGAGGGACAGCGGAGGTGGGGAGGTTGGGGAGGGATAACTGGGGAGAAATGCCTGATGTAGGTGACGGTAGGATGGAGACAGCAAACCGCCATGGCATGTGTGTACCTATGCAACAATCCTGCAAGATCTGCACATGTACCCCAGAACTTAAAGTACAATTTTAAGAAAAGATAAATTTGTGCAACTATGTAGCTATGTAACCACAAATATAATTAAGATATATTTCTAGCTTCAGCTTGTATAGGCATTGCTAAGTAAGCCCTCTTCCAGAATGTAGTACCAACTTATACAACCAGCACTACATGAGGGATTATTTATTATCTAATTGTCTTTATTTTTCAAACCCTACAGTGTAAACTTTGTAGTCAGAGGCCTTTAATTTCATTCGCCATACTATTTGCAATTTTTAATTAAATAAATAAATTTGAAAAAAAAGTAGGTGTTATTTGTTCTTAACACAGCAAAAAATTGCATTAAAACGAACAAATCATAGTATCCTTTCTTGTATACCAGTTATTTTTCCCTTCACTATATTCTCATCTGATGTATTTGTACTTCCTGGTGTCTTAAGCCCTTCTTCTCCAAAGTCATCCTATACTTCATGATTTTCCATAACTGGCAATGATCTCATCATATATAACTTCAATTACTACTTCTGCTTTATACTTCCTTGGTGTCTGTGATTCTCATAAGGACTGTTTACAAATATTCAAGGTTTCTTTCTTCTGGACAATTGATAGGACTTCACAACCCTTCCTCTTTGAAGTGGCCATGTGATTGTGTAAGACACTGTAAAAAAGTGGAAGTAATATCTTTCACTTTACAGAGGAAGTTTTAACAGCCATAGTATGAATTTTTATGTTCTCTTATCCACAGACATTGTGATTAAAGAAGGACATGAAAAGATGATGTTTCTCTCACTGATTCTTACAATTAATACAATGAGCAGAGTCTCTTCTGACCTACATTGAAAGTGAACATGAATGAAAATAAACTTTAGTCTCAATATCTTAAATATTAAGATATTGAGATATTGCAATACATTTTTATTACTATGAGATAAAATAGCACAGGGTTTGGAAAATCTTTTCTTTTCTTTTCTTTTCTTTTTTCTTTGAGATGAAGCTTTGCTCTTGTTGCCCAGGTTGGAGTGCAATGGGACAATCTAGGCTTACTCACCGTAATCTCCACCTCCTGGGTTCAAATGATTCTCCTGCCTCAGCCTCCCAAGTAGGTAGGATTACAGGCATGTGCCACCAAGCCTGGCTAAGTTTGTATTTTTAGTAAATACAGGGTTTCTCCATGTTGGTCAGGCTGGTCTTGAACTCCTGACCTCAGGTGATCCTCCCACCTAGGCCTCCCAAAGTGCTGGGATTACAGGCCTGAGCCCCCACACCTGGCCCAAAAATCTTTTCTGTAAAGGGCCAGATAAAAGGTCTCTGCTGCAGCAGCTCAACTCTGCCATTACAGCACAAAAGTAGTGATAAACAACAGACAAACAAATGAACATGGCTGTCTTTCAATAAAACTTTGTTTCCACAAAGGGGGCAAGTTATATTTTACCTGCAGCCCATCGCTTGCAATCCTTTGGCCCAGTCTGTCCTGATTTATAAAGCACCCTCTCATTCCTTTCCATTAAATCTGCTATATCTCAATATTGGATCCATTTGCAATATTCCTTTTTAAATCAAATGCTATGCATTTTAAGTATTGCAGAAAAGTTATATTACCACTTATATTGGGGTCATACTTTATTTTGGACAAAAAGCTGTGGTGAACATTCAGCACTGTGGAAATTCCATTTATATACCCCTAATTTATTTACTAATTGATTTCCCATAATAAGTGATTCATAGTCTCCTCACTTCTCTCCAGCCACCTGAAACAATTGCTCCTTCATCAACAGATAGTAAGTCTTCATTCACCCAAAACAGTTGAGACTGCCAGTAGTGAGTTCCCTATATTTCCTTCCAGGGTTCTTCCACATTAGCTGTATCCAGACTGATTTAAGTCTTTTGTTTAGACTTCAACGGCACGGTGTTTCTTTCAAATTCAGGTTAACTTTAATTTTTTCATTTTCCCCTATATCTTAAATCATTTTTATTTCTTCCTTCTTTCTTACCTATCAGTCATGGTCTTATTGATATGCAACCTTCTCCAATTTTAAGTCCCTGCTCTGAACTCTTTGTTCAAGTGTAGCAAATCCTGTCTGGCTCTCACACATGCCAAGCTTATTCCTATAATTTGCACTTGCTATTTCTTGTTTCTAAAGTGATTCTGCCCTAGATCTTCATGTTGATTTTTATCACTACCTTCGAATTTCTTCTTGAAACCCATTCATAGGTGTTGTATGAATGAGTCCCTTACAGTTTGTTTTACATGAATATTTGTCCTTGATTTTGATGTTTTCCTTTTCACATTCTCTGTGTGAATAAAGATAGATACTTCCAAGATAAAAGCTACCATCATGATGCTAATAACATTGTCAGTGAGGTTCAAGTCCGTATATACCAATTGCAGCTTCACACTAGGCAGGCCATGTGTAAAATTCAAAGGTATATGCAATTTACTATGTGACAAACTAAATCATCATACTTTTCTCAAAATATGCTTTTGTTTTTTTGTTCAATATCTTAATTTGTGAAAGAACCCTCATGACAGAAACCTGCAAATTTCCCCCACATTGCTTTCTCATCATTTGTATACTTAGTCAAACACAAAATTTTATAAAGTTTTAATTATTCATTACATATTTCCTCCTCTCAATACCATAATTCCACTGTGTCCATTGAGCTCCTAAGTTTATACTCTACTCTGTCTGAATAAGCTTTAATGTATTTCTATAGCTAACAGGATAATATATTTATGTTAGCAATAACTACATTAGAAGCAATCTGTGACTTAATATACAAGTTTTAAAGTGTTGCCATTTTAAAATTTTACTATTTTAAGTAAAATATGTCTTCAGTGTTTGATGTTGACACTAACTTCAAATGAGCCTTAAATGTGTTCCTTTTTTCTTTGTTTTTTGTCAGTTTATTCTGCTCGATCATATTTTCATATACCCATTAAAGTTCAGTTTATATATCTTCAATTATTTTTCCTTATGGTATAGCTCAATTTAATAGTAGTTTTGGAAGTCAAAAGCTATGAGATACAAAAAATAAGAGTTTAACAGAGAAATCAATAAAATAACACTGGGACAATTTGTTGATTAAGAATAGAAGGACTTCTGGAGATTATGCTCAAGTAGTAGACATAAATCCCACGATAAACCTTAATTTCTTACACTCACAATCTTCTTTAGAATAAATGATATTATTAAAACATTCCCTGAACCTGTACCTCCACTCAAAACAATATTTGAGACTATTCATATTTTCCTACTATTAGAAACAACCATTAGTCATTTGAAGTCAGAATACTAATTCAAGGTTAGCACTGTATGTTTTGAACCAATAGAAAATCCAATCTGCACAGGGAAGAGATACACCTGAATTGAAGAAAGCTTTCATTTAGCAGGAATTGGTACCTTTGATTGTTTCTGTAAATGACTTTCCATTACAGATTGTCCCTTTGGACACAGAGACTAAAGTTTTAACAATTCACCTTCAAGTCAGTCCTCTGACATGTATATACCAGATTGAAGAAAATTTAAGTATTTAAAATTTAAATAGATTATTTTACTTTAATATTATTATTTAGCTCCAAATGTCTTATAGATTTAGATGCAACAAAGAGGTTGCAGGTAACTGATTTCAGAGAAAATAATGTATATAGATTTGAAATTCATCTTAGCAAGTAGAACTTTGCTTTGTACCAAGAAAATAAAGAGTAGTATTTATGCTACAAAAGACATAAACAGGGTCAGAAAGGTTGGCATACAAAGAGTGGAATTCGTTTATTAATAAGGACTCCTCTATATCTAATTAATGTAAAATATATTTCAATAAGAGACAGTATAGGCTTATCTAATCTTGGATGAATTCATGTTTATTTATATTGATTATTAATGAACTGTCTTCTGAAAAAGAGTACCCAATCCCAGTGCCTTCTCTTGGTATCTGTCTTCCTAAAGAAGCAGGACCCACATGCATAGTCCTGAATATTCAGATTTCACTTGTACTTGTGACTGAGAAATGGAAAAAAAAATTATAAAAATAAATGTTTTATAAATTTAGAGTCTTTGGGGTGTGTGTGTGTGTGTGTGTGAATAAATCAATCCGTGTTCAAGAGAAGCAAGCATAGAAATGCAGCCACGCATTTGGGAAAAACAGATGGATTTCCCATTGTGAAAACAAATATGTGCTAAAGAAGAGTTTTAGGTAGGTAGCAAAGTGAAAAGGTGAAAGAGATGAAATAATCAGACGCCTACAATGAGGCAGTCGTGCAACAGAGTCACATGTTCATATAAAACTAAATTCCCGGCCGGGCGCGGTGGCTCACGCCTGTAATCCCAGCACTGTGGGAGGCCGAGGCGGGTGGATCACGAGGTCAGGAGATCGAGACCATCCTGGTCAACACGGTGAAACCCCGTCTCTACTAAAACTACAAAAAATTAGCTGGGCATGGTGGTGCGTGCCTGTAATCCCAGC